CCCAGGCTTCCTTTCATTTGTCTCCCACTTCTTTTCAACTGTCTCCCACTTCTTTTCATTGTCTCCCAGGCTGAGTGCTTCTGGTCGGGTTCGCGCCCTTTTCCGCTGGCCATCTGGTGTCCGCCCTTTTCCGCTGATGTCCGCCCTTTTCCGCTGGCCATGTAGCATTTCTATTCGTTTGTCTCCCAGGTCTCTCACTGCTGGTGTTCGCCCTTTTCCGCTGGCCATGTAGCATTTCTATTCATTTGTCTGGTGGTGTCCGCCCTTTTCCGTCGGCCATGCAGCATTTCTATTCATTAGTCTCCCAGGTCTGTCACTGTTGGTGTCCGCCGTTTTCCGCTGGCGATGCAACATTTCTATTCATTTGTTTTTCAGGTTTGTCACTGCTGGTGTCCGCCCTTTTCCGCTGGCCATGCAGCATTTCTATTCATGTGTTTCGCGGATCTGTCACTGCTGGTGTCCGCCCTTTTCTGCTGGCCATGTAGCATTTTTATTCATTTGTCTACCACATCTCTTTTGGCCATGTAGCATTTCTATTCATTTGTCTCCCATGTGATTTCTTTCTTTTTGTCTTTCAGGTTTGGTGCCTGCACTGGTGTTTTCTGCCCTGTCCGCTGGAACAGGTTCACCTGTGAAAGGTTCTTGCTCCTTTGAAATGGGTGCGTGACTGTCTCCGGGGTTGCATTCCTGCCGCAGTGTGTAACTCTCTCAGCTTTGTTTTCCTTTTCGGGCAAGCGTTGGATGAATGACCGGATTGGATTTCGGCGGCGTGGCAGCGATCTCTCTGTTCAGTTGGGACGGAGGGCATACGTCAGGCACCAAAAATCAATTTCATGTCACATCCTTCGCTCCTCATGCTTTTGTTTCTTGTCCTCACGTGGTCAGCTCCCCGCTGATTGAGCAGCATGACCAGCATCATGTTCGCACTTGAAGAATAATTCCCCAAAAGGTTTAGGGCTTCTCAATTCTTTTCTTAAGATATGTCCGCCTGCTCTGTACGGCTGTGTCCGTCTCTGCCTTGCAACCCTTTACATTTGTCTCCCAGCTCTGGGCTGCTGTGGCCGCCTCTGCCTTGCGCAATCCCTTGTCCAAGCTCTAGTTTCGATGTTGAAAAACACAAACTGTTTGGGGTCTACGGTGGTGTAATTTCAAGGTTGTTTGACCATGAAATGGAACAAGACCATGAAATGGAACAAATCCGAATCAGAGGTTGTCTATTCTGATCCAGCGATCCGAACCGGCATGTCTCAGTCGAATCACCTAAGAGGAACCAAGTGAAACCAACACAAGCAATGCGAACCAAGACTATCCACAAAACATGACCTTGAAAACGACTCTTCTTCCAAACTACTTGGCCGTGTGCATGTTTTCCTTTTCAGATCTTTTTTTCGACCAGCTCGAGGGATTGCGACACGCACCAGATATTCTTTTTCACACACAGAAGGCTTCAAAGCGACCGAAGAATTTCTAGATCTGGCATGATTTGTCGTTTTTTTCTCCAAACCGTTTGAAATGAAAGACCCAGAATGACATCGAACAACAATACCCTGCTCAATCAGACTTGTGGGTGCATTGGAGTTGCACATTTTGCTGGGAGAGTTTGTTGCTGTGGATTTCAAGCGAAGTCGTTTTACAATGAAATGGAACGAATCCGAACCAGAGGTTGTCTATTCTGATCCAGCGATCGACATGTCTCAGTCCAATGGTTGTCTATTCTAATCCAGCGACCTACTACCTACTACCTACTACGCACCACCTACTACCTACTACCTACTACCTACGACCTACGACCTACGACCTACTACCTACTACCTACGACCTACGACCTACGACCTATGACCTACGACCTACTACCTACTACCTACTACCTACTACGTACCACCTACCACCTACTACCTACTACCTACGACCTACGGCCTACGACCTACTACCTACTACCTACTACCTACGACCTACGACCTACGACCTACGACCTACGACCTATGACCTACGACCTACTACCTACTACCTACTACCTACTACGTACCACCTACTACCTACTACCTACTACCTACTACCTACCACCTACCACCTACTACCTACTACCTACTACCTACTACCTACTACTGCTGCTACTACTACTACCACCACCACTACCGGGGAGGGAGGGGGGGGGGGGCGTCAGACTGTCGAAAATCTCGCGCGGAGAGACAATAAGCAATACTAACCAATACAAGCAATACTAACCAAAACAATCCACAAAACACGCCGGCAGGCCGGCGGATTAGAGACATATAAACAACATAAAGCATATCAGGACTATACCACCGCCTATATTTTCGATTGCCATCAAACACCAAAAAAGCATCACAAGCCAATAGAAGCCAAGACAATGCAACACATTTCAATACAAATCAGTTCGAAAAGATCAGAAACTATCCAGAAAACGGCATCCTGAAGACCCTAAAGAATCAGACTTAGCTCCAAAGGAAAGGTAGCTATAGTGGCTCCCTGGAAAACCCTGGAGCTGAAAGATTTTCCTGCAGATGTTGGGACATTGGGGGGTAGGTTTTGATTTTTTAGTGGAGATTAAAGGAGTGGACTTGGCAAGTGTTTGATTTTTTAGATGGGGGGCCGGCACGGTGTTATTTTCCTGACCTGCTGGATATCCAAACCAAATCCTAAGCATCTCAAAACAGTAACACTCAAAAAACGTAAATAGCCCGTACAGTTGGCTAGGGGTGTGTTCGCCAAAAAACAACAGCAAGATACAATAAGTAACAATAACGTTCTTTGGAAAGAAACAAGGAGCGACAGTTCGACTCGAACCCGGACGGTCAGATTCTTTAGGTTCATGATGTGGTGTTATTTTTTGAGGTGGACAGGTCTGATTCTTTAGTGTTAATATGTTTCAGTTAATTTTTTAGAGGTTTGTCTCTCTCATTGATGGTGATTCTTTAGAGAGCAGCAGGTTGGCACAGGGTGGGATCTCCAAAAAATGAGGTCCATGTGCGAGGTCGAATTCGCACAGGGATGTCGTGTCAGAATATTCCGTGCTTTTCCCAGGCTGCTTCATGTCGGACTCAGATGAGTTCGAGTATGAGTCGGATGATGACCCATATGGCGGGGCTGAGGAGGAGGCTTGAAACATTCGCTCTGCTTCCTTGAACTTTCTTGCCTTCTCGGTTTCCTGAAGTGGGCTGAATTTCCAGGATGGGGATGAGGAGGCGATCCAAATTGAAAACACTTTCTATGAGGCAGAGGGCGTTCCTTCTCCAATCCAGTGAACATGTTTTTTTTTGCCAATTTTGATTTGCTCTTGGAGGCCGATGACAACAAGCAGAACTTTCCGGAGCAGGCACTTGATCTGCCATGCTGTTAAGAGGCTTCAACTTGATTTGAGTGAGCTCGGAGGCACTTGAACAATTCCAGAGAGTTGTCACTCTCGAAGCGACACGTGGAAGTGAGGTGACTTGGAGCAAAAGATTGGCTGGTGTAGAGTATACGATTCACGAGGGTTGATGAGCAATCTCTTGTTTTTGAACTATATGTCAAGCTGAAGTAACTCGCCGAACTAGCTAGCCAATGATTGACACCGAAAGCCAGCCGATAGCCTGGGCTGAAGTTAGTTTCTGCGGACGAAGTTAATACTTGAGGATTGGACAAAATCTGTGGTTTGGG